TCTTTCCATATTCCCACCCCTTTGAAGTACTGCAGAGTAGAGGCCCTCTTGGTATCTGCTGGAACTATGAACCCAAGGAAAAGACCAAATGCTTTTGGTACTTGGTGGATCATGATGCTGGTGAGGGCGGTGCCTCCCGTCTAGATCTGTAACTGTTAAGCCAGCCTCCTCTCTCTCCCACCAAAAATGCTGGCCCATAAAGGAAACTTCCTGCACCCTATCAGTGTTGGAAGCGGTTGTCTCAGATTGTTTTCCCTTGTTGCAAACCTGGCCGGATCCTGATTCTTCTCGACTTGAAGCTTGCATTTAGTCTCCTTGGCATGAAGTGCCTACCTTTCCTTAAGGGATCTGGCTTCATCTTCTGCCACCTTTTGGCTGACTTGCATAGGAGCCCACAGTGAGCCCTTAGAGTCTCAAGCCCAGGCTCTGGCTTGCCAGCTGATATGAAATGCCAATCTGGAGTGTATTTGAGGTGTGGCTTGGTCACATAGACCATGTGCCAAGGATGGTTGTTTTGGTCAGAATTCTTTCATTTTCAAGTGAAAGGAACCCAACTCAAACCAGTGTAAGAAAAACAGGCAACATTTTGGCATAAGTAACTAAAATACAGGCCAGGTTAGATCCCAGGGGTCCAATTTCATCAGGGTTCCTCTTCTTCCCTTCCATCTGACTTACTGACCTACTTAAGGAAGCTCTCTTTACCTGGTGGTGGTGAAGGATCTCCAGCAGTTTTAGACTTCCCCAGTCCTAGTGAGAAAATAAAAAGCACAGCTATCTTTCCCAGTATCTGTAGAACAAAGATATTTGAGTCTTGGGGCCACATTTTGGACAATGTGGATCCCCAGGAAGGGAAAAGGGAGACGAAAAGAGTGTGATGGGAAGATCCAGGCAACAGGTGACCCACTGTGGTGGGGGCGGCCAGAAGGATAATGATTGAGGGGAAGATGAGCAGTGCAATGACAGGTGTGAGGGACACAGGGTGCTGTGGACCGGGTCATGGAGGTGGTGATGCTGGTTGTGGGGGTGGTGGGGTGTGGGTGATTGTGGGTGAGGTGGCGTAGATATTCCTTCTTGCTTCAGGTCCTTCGAATTCCAAGACCATAATCCGGCAGGATGGTGCCTCCAACCCCGTTGGTGTTGACATATGATTTCCTGTGGTTCTTGCTTCTGAGGGCAGAGAGAGCTACACATTTGTCCTAGAAGAAATTCAATGGTTTCTGAGTCAGCAAGCTCCCCAGGCTTGTGGAAACAGGTCACATGGTATCTCAGAAACGTACCTATGTATATTAGCAGAAAACCAGAGCAAAACAAGCTTCCACCACCAGGATGGCAGGAAATGTGGTCAGCTTTCTTTGAGCACCGAGGGGGGTGAAGCCAGGATGAAAGGTCATTGGCTTTTACTAATGAAGAGGTCCAGAAACTGCTGATTTAAAGGATAATAATAAAAAAGCACCCTGGGGGACATTTTATTGCACTTAGAAATGTCCAATTTCATCCTTCATATGAAAAATGAAAAAAAAGAACATTTTGATTTTCATAAAAGCCAATAGATGAATATAAAAAGAAAAAGTTCCCAGCCAAGAGCTCAGCCAGAGTTGTGTTCACGTGTGTGCCTGAGCTAACTCCTCCGGCCTCATGGGAGCCTCTGCGTTTGGCACACAGACCCCTTGTTCTGTAAAAACTATTTCAGGAACACTTTGAAAAGGCTGCCCAGTGATGGCTGCCTCATTTGGGATTTATTATAATATCATTAGGAGGGGTTATATCATTTGGTATAATGTCAGACACATTGTAGCCTGTGGTTTTATGATGCGGACAAATATCACACTCAAGAATAAGACGGCTCTGAGCAAATCAGTTCCATGTGGGTCCTACTGTAAATAGGAATTTTCCCTTCTGCTGCGGGAAGACAGATTTTGATCTGCATCCGGCCTCTGACCTTCTATCCTGCAGGGTCTTTCTCTTCTGGATCTCCTCCCTCATGAGCCCCTGGGGCTTAGAAGAGAGGGAATTCTGAAAGACCCTCAAATCTACTTAATAGGGAGAAGGTGCTTGTCTGGGAAAGCAGGAGAGAAGGGGATTAGCTTTTATCCAGTGCTTGCCATGTGTCTGAACCAGTGCTGGGTTTTTCTACCTGTATCACCTCACTTCATCCTCACCACCAATCTACAGAGTCAGTAGATATCACACAGCTGTTTTACAAAGAAATGCTGAGACTTGATGTGATAAGTCTGGAGACTTCGAGTCTATAAACTAATAAGAGGGGATAGGGTTTTGAGGTGTATCTGATTCCAAAGCTTGTGACCTCTCATGCTACACCTCAGTGTCTGCATGTTCAAGGACAAACTGATGGTGGGAGGGAAGGGGGAAAGACATGTGATGCAAGTTGTATTTAGAGAAAAATCTGATCATTTAAGAAGCAAAGCATGCTATCACCTCCTTGGAAACGACTTGGCAGTTTCTAATGAAGTGAAGTATCTGCCTCCCTACGACTCAGCAATGTCATTCTGGAGAGAAATGAGTACATATGTCCATAGAATGACTTGTACAAGAATGTTCATGACAACTGTTTCATAACAGGCAGGAGCTGAAAACAACCCAATGCTCATCAGGTGGAAAATGAATAAATGAATTGTGGTATGCTCACATAATAAGATGATAGCACTGCAAGGAAAAAATAATAAACTGATAGATACAACTATATGGATTGGCCTCAAAAATGTCATGTGGAACTAAAGAAGACAGACACAACATAATACATGTTTCCAGGTATTGGAATTTTAAGAATGAGGACAATTAAACAAAGCTAAGAGAAGTTACATAGTGTGTCCATCTGGGTAAGAGGTATTGCCTGGGAAGAAGGAGAAAACTTTCTGATGCTAGAGAAATTTTCCATACTTCGACTTGGGTGGGTGTTACATGGGTTTATAATAGGTGAAAATTCATTGAGTTGTATATTTAAGATTT